CTAAACACCTCTTTCACAAAAGCCTTCAGATAGTGTAGCTTATTGATTGTGTGTACTGTTATTGGTGAAGATGGATCGATATTCTTTTTTATTTCCTCATAGAGTCGTTCTTGTACTTCAGGATTCAGAGCCAAACAGTGCAGGTTCCCCAAGAGGACAGGTGATGTCTGGTTCAGTAACAAAGAGAGAAAATAATAATAATAATAATAATAATAATAATAATAATAATAATAATGATAATAATAATAAACTTATGTACTTCTGTGGGGATTTTTTGTGGCATTCTATGGCACATGCTAATAATAATACCAATAGAAGAAAATGTTTCTTCTGTAATACTATGTTGGTGTGTATATTTCATTACAAGCATTTTTTATAGTATCCCATAACCCCAAACACTTTGATATATTGTTTGAAGTTGGCTCATGGTTGCAACAAAATACAAACAATTTTAAAAGATATCACCAAAATGTGTTCTGCTGTACAGTTCTGAAAAGCTATTTTCATTTACTTCACATAAAAAGTTTATAGACAATAATGAAATTACTTAAAATGCTGGTATGAGTTTTATTAGAAGCAAAATATTATGGAAGCATGCATGCTGTGGAAACTCCCAAATATATTTCTGAGATTCAGTCATTTTTTTTATCTTATTGCACTTCTGTTGTTCTGAAATGGCTGTAATGTTCCTTGAAGCTTTGCATCTTATAACCACAGTAAGTCTAAAGCTCACACAACTGGATAATTCCAATGATCACAGGCATTTACTAGCCTTAAAAACTGTACCATATTAATAAATCAAAATATATAGACTTTTCTCTGGTATTTTTGAGTCTATAAGGTTAAATCATAGCAATAACAAGCTTGAGGATATATCTAAGTGTCTGAGTTTTTTGTGAACTAAAGATGACTCTACAAATGCTAACCCATGAAGGCTCAATTAGTAGGTTCCTCATGACCTGACGAATTTCCCTATTCCTTGATAAAAAAAAAAAAAAAAAAAAAGCTATTAATACTGATTTTGTTATTGCTGACATTACAATTTCATTCCTATCAAAATAATAATGACAATATTTTTTTTTTTTTTAACCCATTCACGACGGGCATGTCACGTACGTTCATGCCATGTCCCCTGTGAGTTTACTTGTTTAATTGTTTTTACACATTGATGGCTACACTTGTACTAAATCACCAATGAGCCAATTACGAGTACTGCCTGTCCTGCCTGTTTACCCTTTTCTTTTATTTACAAAAATATTTTACGTTATCTTATTTTGCTATTACTAATGTTTCTAACATTATAGTAATTATAATGTTTATAATAAAAATAACACCATTGATAGTCATAGCACTAGTAAAAAATACATTTTCCCGCCAATTCAAGGAAAAGTGAAATCAGGTATGGCAGAGCCATCTATGTGTAGAGAGATTTCACAAAAAATATAGAAAATGAGCACAGCATTTTCCCCATTTTTTTTTATTTTCCCCAGCAGCAAGGGGTTAATTCCAAAAATCAAGGAAAAGAGTAAATACATAGGTATGACTAGTAATAGTACCTATGGAGACATCTATGAGTAAGCACAATTAATAAACTAAAAGCTTGGTGGACATGGTATACATGTTATGCCATCCTAGTTCTGTGGGTTAATATTAGTAATGCAATTCAGGCAATCAAGAGATGAGTTCATCTAGTAGGCCTTATAGATACACAAATGAAACATAAGTTACATAATTTTATACATATCAAACTACTTCATTCCACAAAATCCATCCATCATACCGTAGAAAGACCGTCGGAAAACAGTGAAAGAGTGATGGTCACAATATCCTTATGGGAGAGCTCTTTCCGTGACATCAAGTAAGTGAGGAAGTTGAAGTCTCCCTCCTTCAGTTTGTTCTCTGCTGAAAGGCCCTTAATGTGATTCAGTGCATCAGTAATGAAGTCTATGGAGACCCTGCAAGGATATGGAGACAATATATATAAAAAGAAGAGATACTCCAATGTAAAGAACACATGCACACAATATAGATAAAAATGATAGCACACAAAAATACACCCACAAATATATTAATAAAAGGTCTGTTGAAAAAGCACTCTTTTACTCTTCAAACATTGATTGTGTATATACAAAATAATTTAATTTATACATGCCTACATGAAACTTGTATGTATTTCATGAGTTATAATGGATTTACATCTGATTTTACTAGTACAAAAGAAAAAAAAGAAGATACACAAAAAATACAAACTTATGATGCTAAAACCTCACCCATAAAAAAAGTCCTCAAGATTATGAAGCTTCCTATACTTCCTAGTCTTGAAATACCGATATATTCTCATTGAAAACTTCAGTTCTGCGGACAGCTGACAAGAAGAACAGAGAAAAGAAATGAGCTAACAAAATGAGGGGTCGCTTTGCAATATCACAAATTTATTTCATAATATACAGACCCCTAATTCCTGTACAAACACCTTGATGTTGTAACTAATTAATATATGATATTCTTAGTGCACACAAAAAAGAAAAGGAAAGAAAAAAAAAAAAAATTAGCAGTCAATAAAATAAAAACAATAATAACAACAACAATAACAATAATAACAATAATAATAATAATAATAATAATAATAACAATAACAACTAGAAAAGCACTCAGAGAGTGCAGACCTCCGCCAAGGTGCGTATATAATGTACTTACACCGCTGCTGCGTCCAGACGGTAATTCAGAATGTCAGTGAAATGTGGTACACGTTTACCATAGATTTGTGTACTTTATTGATTAATTAATGATAATAATAATAATAACCAGACGGTAATTCGGAATGTCACCAAAATTTAATCAGTTCTAAGTTAGTCCCTTTCTGACTTGTCCCCAAAAATTTGATGAAATCTGGCCCGCACTTTTTGAGCTAGGCTGCTAACAAACAAACTAACCAACAAACCAACGGCGTCAAAAACATAACCTCCTTGGCGGAGGTAATAACAACAACAATAATAACTAGAAAAACACTCAGAGACTGCAGACCTCCGCCAAGGTGCGTATATAATGTACTTACACCGCTGCTGCGTCCAGACGGTAATTCGGAGTCACCAAAATTTAATCAGTTCTAAGTTAGTCCCTTTCTGACTTGTCCCCAAAATTTTGATGAAATCTGGCCAGCACTTTTTGAGCTATGCTGCTAACAAACAAACAAACCAACAAACCAACGCCATCAAAAACATAACCTCCTTGGTGGAGTTAACAATAATGATAATTCTAACACTAATAACTAATAATTGCACTAATAACACTAATAATAACAATAATATTAATAATAATTATTATTATTATTATTATTATTATTATTAATTATTATTATTATTATTAATTATTATTATTATCATTATTATTATATTAACAATAATACTAATACTAATACTAATACTAATACTAATAATAATAATAATAACAATAACAATAATAATAATAATAATAATGCTGACGATGACGATGATGATGATGATGATGATGATGATGATGATGATGATGATGATGATGATGATGATGATGATGATGATGATGATGATGATGATGATGATTTGATTATAAAAATAAAATAATAATAATAATAATAATGATAATAATAATAATAATAATAATAATCATAATAATAATAATAATAATAATAATAATAATAATATTCATAATAGTAAAAAATAATAATAATAATAACAACCATAATAATAACAATAACAACAAAAATAATAACAATAATGATAACAATAGTAATAATAATAATAATAATGTTAATAATAATAATAATAATAACAATAATAATAACAACAATAACAAAAATAATAACAATCATAATAATAATAGTAATAATAATAATAATAATAATAATAATAATAATAATAATAATAATAACAATAACAATAATAACAACAACAACAATAATAATAATAATAATAACAACAATAATAATGATAATGATAATATTAACCCATTGCCGCCCGGGAAAATGAACAAAAAATGGGGAAAATGCTCTGCCTATTTTCTATACTTTTTTGTTAAATGTCTGTCCATAGATGGCTCTAATAGCGCCTGATTTGAAATGGCGGGAAAAATGTATTTTTCACTAGTGCCATGAATATCGATGGTGTTATTTTTATCATAAATATTATAATTTTTATAATGCTTTTTAAACATTAGTAATAGCAAAATAAGATAACGTAAAATATTTTGTAAATCAAAGAAAAGTGTGAACGGGCGAGACAGACAGCTGACAAGAAGAACAGAGAAAAGAAATGAGCTAACAAAATGAGGGGTCGCTTTGCAATATCACAAATTTATTTCATAATATACAGACCCCTAATTCCTGTACAAACACCTTGATGTTGTAACTAATTAATATATGATATTCTTAGTGCACACAAAAAAGAAAAGGAAAGAAAAAAAAAAAAAAATTAGCAGTCAATAAAATAAAAACAATAATAACAACAACAATAACAATAATAACAATAATAATAATAATAATAATAATAATAACAATAACAACTAGAAAAGCACTCAGAGAGTGCAGACCTCCGCCAAGGTGCGTATATAATGTACTTACACCGCTGCTGCGTCCAGACGGTAATTCAGAATGTCAGTGAAATGTGGTACACGTTTACCATAGATTTGTGTACTTTATTGATTAATTAATGATAATAATAATAATAACCAGACGGTAATTCGGAATGTCACCAAAATTTAATCAGTTCTAAGTTAGTCCCTTTCTGACTTGTCCCCAAAAATTTGATGAAATCTGGCCCGCACTTTTTGAGCTAGGCTGCTAACAAACAAACTAACCAACAAACCAACGCCGTCAAAAACATAACCTCCTTGGCGGAGGTAATAACAACAACAATAATAACTAGAAAAACACTCAGAGACTGCAGACCTCCGCCAAGGTGCGTATATAATGTACTTACACCGCTGCTGCGTCCAGACGGTAATTCGGAGTCCAATGCGTCCAGACG